AAGAGAACCAATCGATATTAGAATGAAAATGAACGAATTTTATAGATATTTTATAATCATTGAAAAAATAATGGATAGTTTTGAGAATGTTTAAAATATTGCATTTTATTGAGATGCTAATTATTCTTCGTGTATTTTATTTTTAATTTCAATTTTTTTAATCATTCGATATTTAGGGAAGATATTTTTTTATTTTTTATTTATTCAGGTATCAAAATACGAAAGATGCGCCTTGCAGAATCAAAGGGGACAGGCCTTGCCCGCCAAACAAGTACAGGACACCTTCAGGCACTTGCAACAACGTGAGACATCCTGTTTGGGGTGCTCGTAGCGCGCCATTTTTGAAAATGTTGCCACCGGCGTATTCGGACGGTGAGTGATATTTAATCGCAAGTTGATTCAAATAATTTTGAAATTCTTAAGATATTCTTTGATTTATATATCGTTGAATTATATTCGAGGAATAGATCTCGATACTATATCTTAAGTTAATTGTTTATTTTTTCTAGTTACTTTCTAGTTACATATATAAATGTGATTAAATTTATGATAAATTTTTTTTAAAAAATTTTCTGCTTATTCCGCGTATGAAATATATAGCTGCGTTTTAATGTTCGTTTAGAAAGAATTTCAGAATTATCAGGAATTATACTAGCGGGATATCGAGATTATAAGAAAATTGAAAACTCGTAAAAATATACGATGTATAAGATTGAAATGTCAATTTTTTATTGCGACTGCAATCAAACTGAAAGAATTTCTCGTGGAATTTACGAGCTACAATACTAACAAGAAACGTTAATAACTGTATCCGACATCAATAATTATTATAATATAGGAAAAGCGAGTAGTAGCGAGAAATTACCTTTCTTATTACAAATCATTAAACGAGTCATACATGTATACATTTTAATACTTTAAAACTAAACAATTAACTAACTAAAATTATTTATGGATGTTTCATTGAAATTTTATCGAATATAGCAAAAAACATATGATCTCTTATACTATCTCGTGTCTAATTTCATTATCTATGAATTATCTTTCCTTCTTACACATAAATCTTCGCGTTATCGTTTTTTTTCTATTCCAAGATACATGGAACGTTCAATATTTATAAGTATTAACCAATCCTCCATAATTATCAAATATTAAGAAAAAAAATTCGAATATTAAAGATGCAAAAACAAGACAGTATACAAACACTATATAATATCAATCATATTTAAATCATCTACAACTATTAAATAATAAAAAATAAAAAAAAAATAATTCCGTTGTTATTTTTGCGAAAAATAAATATATTAATATATATATATATATACTTAAAAGTGGCCACTTTTCATGGACCAATCTATACTCGCGATGATTCCTCAATCGATAACCAGTTCTAAACGATTGCCGTAGTTATACGCACTTCCTGTAACGCGAAAGGAAAGTGAAAATTGGAACGAGGCAGATTCATTTCGAAGAACGTTGGCATGCTTGTCTGGATTAGAAACTGCGAATTAGCATGCTAGAGGGAGCGGAGAGCGAATGAAATAGAGAGTCCCTAGGCGAGCATCGATTGCACCATCATCGGTGTGAATAATCTATTCCACCTGCGATCTTTTACTGTTCGATCCTTCTACGTCTTATTCTCTTATAGACCAAACACAATTATTCCGGCAATAATATATCTTTCGGATAGAAAAAAAAAAAAAAAGAAAAAAAAAGAGATGTTAAAAAAATTTTTCTCAAGAAAAAGAAAGTATATTGGAAGAATGAAGCAAATAATGTGCGGTTTGATGGTTCGATGTGATATTACGTGCAATGATTAATTAATTTTGACGTAACTTGAAAGCTGCTGAATCGACACGGTGAGAGTTGATTAAGATAGATTATGTATATATATAATTCAATATTATTCGACATGTTTTCTACACATAATTAGTAAGATCTAGATTAGTTGTAAAAAATGAAATACAATAAATAAACAAATAAAGGCATCAATAAATTCATGAGAAAAAAGTTAGCTAAATTTAAAATACCATAACTTTCGAGAGAAATGGAAAAGACTGATCATTCAAGGGGGAAGGTGTCTAGAATAGAGAAGGATGCCACAGTTTTTCCGGGGACTGTTTTTTATTTAACGACGAATTAAATTCTTCGAGCGATTCATGAAGGAAAAATGCTAAA